CCCCACTTCCAGAGCTGCTGCGCTCACATCCCACCCCCCTCCACCCACCTTCCCAAGTCCTGCACCCCCCTGCCCCAGCCTCAATCCCTCCCTTCCCCACACCCCTTCTCTTGTCCCTCTGACCACCACAACAGACTTACCAGCTGGAGGCAGCTGTTTCCAGCGTGGTGAGGAATGCTGCTTGTTTAGTCTACGGTCGAATCTTTTCTGAATTGATTCGGAGGCTGCCCGTTTGATTTGGATCTTTTAATTGGTCTCCCAATTTGATTTGGGTTCGGAGATTCTGTTGCCAAAACAGGCCGAATCTCCTCCGAATTGAATTGACTACCAAAGCCTCACACATCCCTAACATTTAACTTATACAGGTGGGGAATAAAGAGGTGGAAATGTTCTTCCTAATCTACAATCTATAAACAAATCGAGTGTTCCTTTACCATACTGCAGGTATGGCCTTAGTTAGTAATTAAAAACAAATTTGAATAAGCAAAAATATTTTTATTCTGCAATGAAATCACATCATGAATAGCCTTCACTTTAATGAAGATCACTACATTGACATAAGCATGCATATTTCAGCACACTAAGAGAATTCTATGCAGTGTTCAACTCTGCAGGTCAGTGGGTCAGCGTTTTCTTGGTTTCTATCTTTTGAGTTAAATCCAAAATCCAATTTAAAGAGCGTATTTGACAAACTGCAGGTCATATATTGAGATGGCCTTACTAAAAAAACCCTATTAAATAGACTATTTCATTCATGAGGATTTGCAGATGCAGAATTTACTAGCAAAGCACAGCACCAACTATAACAAATTTCAGATGTTGCATTAGAGTCCTACCCCTATTTTTTTGTCTTTCCACTCTACTGTCTCCTGAAGATCAGAAATTTCCCTGACATAGTTCTCCTGTTTCTGTTGCAGCTGTTGGATTTCCTGATGGGCAGGACCAAACAGGGAGACAGAAAGCAGATAAAGGATTAACCAGAAGAAAAGACTCAAGATTGTAGTGACACAAAGGAACAATTAAATGAGACATTAGGAGAATAAAAAAAGACTACCCACATGTCCAGCTCTGTAACTGGCCCACATACATCCCAACTGTTTTCCTTAAGAAAAGTTAAAACAGCTCCTGAAGTCTATCATACTGTGAACATCCAATCCCACCCAGCAGAAGGCAGGCATATACTAGGTTAGCGGAGCTATTTTGATTTCACTTTTATGCCAGTTGCCTATCCCTCTCCTATCTGGCAGGGGAAATACTATGACTACAATGGTGGCAGGGGAAATACCCTGACCAAGGTAATGCAATTAAAATGCCACTGTGTAGTTGAGGGTTGCACCTTTGTCTGCTTGCAGACAGAACTCCCTATGAAAGCCTCACAGTCAGCTTCCCACTGGCCAGGTTCCAGTGGGAGGATCTCTGCTACATGCTAACTTTATGGAAATGGGAGACCCTTCCCTAACCTGCTCCTCTGGCCACATGGCAGAGGGCAAATCAAACTCAGGGACATCCGAACCCCAAGCTTCCAGGCTTGGGCCTGTATGTAGGATGCCCGCCAAAGGATTTGGAAGCATCTGAAGCCCCAGGTGGGGGTGGAAGAAGTTTGTGGGTATTATGGCCACATTTGATTCTTGAACGACTCATGGATTTGGAATTGATTTGGCTGATTTGAATTGGAACACAAAAAATGTTCCTTAAAAAAATTCTCTTAAAAGTACTGTCTCAGACAATAAATTTGTTCCTGGAAATTAAAAATAGTGCAAAATAAAAAACGTAATTATAAAATACTGTTATCTGTCCCAACGTTTTAAAAAACGACTAATGGACTGACCTTATAGTATTTCTTCAGCAGCAAAATGTGAGGCAGTGAATAAGACTCTCCAATCCTCACAGAGCCTTCTATATTTTATCTTCTAGTTTGAAACACACGGGTCATGAAAGCCAGTAAACACAAGAAGAAATTACTTACTGCAAGCATTTCTTCTCTTTGCTTCAAGGCTTCTTTCATTTCTGTGAACTGAAACTGCAATACGCTATGAGCATGCCTTTCCCTCTCAAACTCCTGAAGACAGAAGAAATTAAGTTTATAAGCATGTTTTAGTGACTGGAAAAGTCTTTATTTTATGAAGAACAGAAGAAAGGAATTGCTAAACAAAACACTCCGCATAAGACAGTTCGGAATATTCTTTAAATTTGTTCTACAAGCTGCTCTAATTTATCATCTCTTATTTCAAACATCTATAATGCAGGAACAATAAATTAGATGCAACTCTTCGTATCTTTTATACACTATTGTATAATACAGTAGGCGGAGGATTTTGGTTTGTTTATTTTCTGTCAAAGCATGCAGTACTTAAAGTACTCCCAGGTCCTGCTGACCTCAGAGGTGAATGATACAGAAAACAGTTAGGTTTTATTTCCTATGTAGGACTCTACCATTTGGCCAGTTCACTGTGAAATTTCAAACAAATATTTTCCTAGAGCCATACATGATGTTGGATGCACATCAACTAATCTTATTAGCCAAAGAGTACACTTCTGAAGTTAGCACAAGACTTATGAAAAATACCAAGTGGAAGTAAACTAAGAGATACTCAATTAATGGCACTACTATCATTACCTGTTAATGCAGCATAAGTTCAAGCCACTGGTATAATATTTTCAATACTGAACCATATGAATATCTTAATTAAGAAGGCATACTACAATCTACCTGATGCCTGAAATTCTTCCTTTACACTAGAGGGGATAATGACCATCTTCCCTTTTGATAGGTTTTCATCTTCAATTAACCAAGCTTCTTTTCTTCAGTTAACTTTGTTTGCTGTCCCTGGGAATCTCTCTTCTCCAATTCCAAATCCCTGCTCACTGCTTTTAATCACAGTGCCACCTTCTTCCCTCAGACCTGATGAGGAATGCCTTGCATTTGATGATTTATCTAAGTTTATTCCAACCCTGCAGCTGGTCTAATACAAGATATCACCCACAAAGATCCTTGCCTCTTGCATAATTCCTGAACCACCCCTACTACAACATCACTCTAACACCACCTTAAGATATGCATCTCTCATTACACACTTACGGCCTTTTGAACAAACTTCATATGATGTAACATTCTAGAAGAAAAATATATTTTCAGAAGTTACTATCAATAAAACTTCTGAGTCAGAAATACGTTTTGGGTTTGTTGCAAGAATCATAATACGAACGAAGCGTATGATCTCTCTCATGAAAGATAAGATTCTTCACATACTGGAAGCTGCCTTACAAAAATGTGAACTTAACAGATGAAGACAGAAAAAGGCAGCAGGGACACCAATTATCATGTTATCTTGGTACTTAAAAAAAAAAAGAAGATAATTTCAGTAGTAGTGCCATTGCTCCTCCCCGAGGATACTGTTCAGCTCTGACTTTCAGCTTTTCATGAAGGCTCTAGTGCTGTACATTTACCTTGCTTTTCTCTTCATATTGCCTCTTTGACTCTGCCAGTTGTTCTTCCAACTCTAACAGTGCATCTTTCAGGGTGTCTACTTGGTACATGAAATTTGTTTTCTCATTATCTAGTTGAGCATTGGACACCATAGCTTTCTTATATTTTTCTTCAACTTCTGCTAGGGAGTCCTGCAGAGAATGAATATATAATAATTATGTTAATTTGCAACTATAGTGAGATATAAAAAAAAAATAAAGAAAACATCTCTATCTTCTGAGCCACAATCTTTATTCAACAAGCTACAGAAGCCCTATAGCACATCTGTAATATCATTAAACCTAATTATTGTAATCGTGTGCTTAAGTACTGTAATCAATTTTAAGACAAGGTATTCATCCACCCTCCATTTAACAGGGAAAATGCCCCTTGGGCTCAGAATCAGGTTGGGGGGGGGGGCGGGGGGGGCGTAGGGGAGGAAAAGCAGCTGCTGTGGTTTGGGCTACCTGGGGTCAGGGCTGCAGCCACAGCTGCTGCTTGCCCCTGCCTCTTTCCCAGCTCCCCACCAATGCACTCTCTGCTCCCCTGCTTGCCCCTCTTCCTCCCCCACCTTACCTGTGCTCCACACCAGCAGGCTCCATCCATGCTGCAGCCTGGACTAGGCAGGAGGCAGAAGTAGCAGGGAGGCAGACCCAAACAGGGGGCAAACTGCTTGACTTCCCCATACCACCTGCCATCCCCTTGCAAGCAGTGAGGAATTTATAATTTTTTCATTTATAGAATTTAATTAGAGGGAGTTGATCTCATATACAGGGTTGTCTTGAATTCGAGTAAATATGGTACTTTACTTAACTGGATCCCAGGGTTGGGGAAGAGTTATCTGCATTCTTTGCTCTTTCGCATTAGGGCACTGTGATGGCTTTTAAAAAAATACTGCAGCTCCTGAAACCAACACTAAACTTACACACACTTTTGGTTAAAATTTTGCATCATCCAAAACAAACCAGGTTTATCTCCCAAACTAACCCTGTGTGACCGTAATCTGCTCTACAAAAAAAGCCCAATGTCCTGCCAACTTGACAACTAAGACTGGTTAACCCCCAACCTGAAGATAAGAGTAATTCAGATAAACAGCAGCTATTCCGACTCATCTAACAACTCAAACAATGCTGAGGACCATTTTCTATGCTGCACTACAAGTCCCAACAGCAAGCATATGTGCGAGGGGAAAAAGGAGATATGTACATGTCTTTTATTTTTTAATTAAAAGAGGACCAAGAGTCCATCAATGTATAAAGTTTCATAATTAATAACACATGAGCAGTGATGATACAATGTCATCTATTTCTAGCATTCCCATTCTGTTAGATTAATATCAGAACTGAACAAAGATCCACCAGAAATAAGAACACCGATATGCTTAAATCCTTGAGATTAGTTAGAAACAAAATACACGCTATTAGGAGTTTACAGAGAATGCAGAATCATATCAAGAGTCAGGAATGTCTTATTAGTATTATCTAATTCTATCACACCTTTTCACAAAGCAAATGTTAATTTTCATTTTTTAAAACAGTCACTGCACTCACTGAAGATCAAGCCAAATCTATCCATTAATACATTTATCCTGTCAGGGCAGGATTTTATCTTGGTCTAGTCTCTTGTTGGTAACTTCTAAAGGAAGTTACTCCAGCTAGAAAAGAGGTTTTAATTAAAATACATATTCCATGTTCTATGGCAAAAACAAGCTCAGAAGTGAATAAGGAAAGTCAAACTTGTTGAGTCCTCAAAAACATGGGCAGAACTGCAACATTTCTACCCATGAGCAAATTATAAACACACTCTATGGGTGCAAACAGACATAGCCCTTGTGCTTCAATAAAATTTTTTATAGCTGCATAATTTGCAAGTGAACAGATGTCCCTATCCCTTGTCATGCTCCAACTGCCCTAAAATGTTTGTGAGATCAATGTAGTCACTGCTTGTGATGCCTTATAAAGGAGGATGTCTCAGTTTCTTTGCAGGGGATTCCCGGGGCATAAATTTCATGGTGCTGCACCCTAAATCTGCTGAGGGACATGCAGGGCATGTTTCAAGATGCTTTGCTCAACCCTGTCAGGGGATTCATAGGGTGTCTCTCTGCAATTTGGGAGAATCTCCAGCTTACATGGGCTAGCACAGGGCGTGGTGTGGAACACATGGCTCAGGAATCCTCTGCAGGCGAGGCAATGGCCATGGGGTTCAGACATGTCCAAGATTGGGGTGTAGCACCCAAGGCAAGATCAGGCCCCAGAATTCCCAGGGGTGGCAGGGACTCGATCCTGTGGGACGTCAACCCTGGAGACATTGGTTTCTGCTGATCTATTGGTTCAGCTGTGCTGGGAGACATCCCAGTACACCTGATGCCACAACAACAACAAAAAAAGACACCTTTCTGTAGTGTAAGGGACCCTAATTACAAAATTCTAGGCAACTGTTTCTGACATGCAATATCTACAATTTTACATTCAGTCAGAGAAAAAAGGCTTTTAAAGGGCACAAACTGGCTTTTCACATTTGCAGGGCACTTGGGATGCCAGGAATTCCACATCTTGTGCCCTTGAGCGGAGGAGTGGAAACATAAGTTTTAGTTTATGAACAATGCTAACATGCATTACATTATCAGCTCAAGTGTGCCAAGGTCTAATAAAATATCTTGCAAGCTTGCTATTTTCAGAAGTGGAGCCAGTGTCACTGATCACAATGTGCAGTGTCAAATCAATAGTTATGTGTTGTACCAAAATCCAGTGTGCGCGTTAATATTTATAAGTATTCCTTCCATGCAACTGCTAGGAAAGTTTGCCTATTCCATCGGGACATTCCATAAGGGCTACTTTTACACTCCTGATATTTGATAGATGCTTCCCTGGCATACACAGTTTATTAACTAGGATTCATTATCAGGTCTCTTAAGATCCACTGAACTCCCAACATACCATGGCATTGAAGGCCAAAGGTTGGCTACATGCTCAATAATCGGTGTTTACTTTTATTTTGCTTTTTGACCAATATCTTCTTGCACATGTTTTTTACTGTTCCATAATAAGCTGATTAGTTTTTTTAGATGGTAAACTTTGGATGCAGAATTACAATATCAACGAAGTTTGATATCTTCGAGACAACAAAATACAAGACATGCAATAGAAATTAGTGGCTTTTTTCTACAGCAGTTAATGATTTAGATGCATTTCACCAGAATTATTCAAAGAAAGGATTCACTGGACTTTAAAACAGGCTGTATATTTTCCCCACAGATTAAATGCTTTTCAGACCATTCAGAGCATTCAGAAGAAAAGCATGCACATTACATTCTAGTTATCATTCTCACTGTGCCTCTCTGAAAGTTTAGCTTGTGTTAATTATCAAACATTCAGTCTGCAATAAACTGGTACCTTCATTTCTTTCAATCCCTGCATGTATTTGCCTTCTACATCCTGAATCTGGTCCTTTAACTCATTGATCTCCTGAGGGAAATGGTAAGAAAAGGTGAATGATGTCAAGAAAACTAATGGGCAAATTTAGAGTTGAGAGAGAAGTCGGGTCAGAATTTACATTTACAGATAAGCTTCCACTTCATTTTGAATTTTCTAATCTTCATAGTAAACATGCTCAGAGGCTTTTCAGCCAATCACCTTGCCATTCACCTGTCTTAATAATTTGAAAAAATGAAACGATTCAAAAAAGGGATGGCCTTTTGTTTAAAGAACTGACTGTTACCTAGATTGGTTTCCAATTCTCCAGCAGGAAAATAACCTACTCGATCTGCCTTAACTCCCCATCCGTAACTGAGAAATACTATTTCCCTCCTAGCACTCAACAAGGGTGTCACAAAGATGAATTTGCCGGATGTGCAGTGCCCAATCTGTGTGCAGCCTGGATTTGCTGGGGGGGGCCAAATCTGGCATCTGGGGCAGGCCCTGTTGGCACCATCCAGCTGCACGGAGGAAGGAGTGGGGCAACCTAGCCCCATGGGTGGGAGGGAGCATGGCCTGGCCCTAAAATGGTACTCTGGGAGGAGGGGGGATAGCCTAGTCCCAAACTGGTCCCATGAGGGGGCAGGGAAGCAGGTGTGGCCTGGCCCCAACCAGCCATGCAGGGCTTGGGGTTTGGGAATTTGGCAGCAGGGGAGGGTAGTCATATTAATGGCCACCACTCCCCCGCCACCAAATTTCCTGACCTGTGGGGAGCCCCGTGGGCCAGATATGATGGCTCCACATGCCGCATGTGGCCCACAGGCCAGAAGCTAAGCACCCCTGATGTAAGCTTCTCAGATACTGGGTGACAACTGTCATAGAAAGCCCAAGAAACAAAAACAGCAGGCCTAGGAGGCATGGATAAATATTGTAGGGGAAAAAGATTAAAAAGCTAATTAAATTATGAGACCACTTAAACACTATTCTCTCTCTGGTCACCTTCAAATTACTATATTTTATTCTTGTTTCTTATTCCATTACTTGGACTAGCTTCTACAACTAGTGTATGCCTCAATGGGTTAACTGCTTTGTTTATCCCTTTTGATCTCTTCAACCTATCTTCACCTCTCGCAACAATGCCCCCCCCCGCTTTCCTCACCCTGTCCCTATTTTTGTATTTATATTATTTTATTCCTTTCTATTTAGGACTCCTCCTGCAAGTCAATTCATAGCATCTGATGAAGGAAACTGTTGCCTACAAAATCTTGTCTTTCTGAACAATTATTCTCTTAGGTGCCCCACACCCAGAACTGCCTTCTGCCTGACTTCAGACTAATACAGCTAAGCCACCTCTCTCTCTCTCTTTTACTTGTTTTACAGTTCTGGCATCAGGACAAAACTATTTGGATTAGCTTTTACAGTCCAGATAATTTTAATAATGGTAACTTCAGAACACAAAATTAGAAATAGAGAGGTTTTAGTAGACCACATGTTCCTTTTCCCATCAACCACTTTAAGATGATAAATATTTAAGGAGGACTTTTCTATACAATAATTCTGTGCTCTGAAGGCCATCTCGTTTATAATTTAATAATGGTAGAAATATTGGCCTAAGTAGACATTTGCTGTTTTTTAAACATTTTCAACTTTCTTATCCCAATCTTTATTATTCATATGAGAAACATCACACTGCAAAACTATTTTATAGAAAGCTGTACAAAAGACAAATGTAACATTTCTTACATCATTTCAAGCCTGTCATTACTATGTTTTATTGGGTCGGTTTCTTGCCGTCGTAGATTTTTAATGCCAGATGGAAACATTAAGACCATTTAGTCTGCTCTCCTGTATGAGGCAGGCCAGTGTATTTTCACTTGCCTCAAGATCTTAGGTTCTGATTGGATAAGGCACATCTTTAGGAAAGATATGCACTGTTTTTCAAATATTAAAACTATTTGACGATTTAAAAACTAGCCAATCAACTGGAACAAGACAGATCGGTTACTTTCCAATGTGGAATTAAACAGGCTTGCATCTTCTAGTCCTGCATGGGGTGGTTTTGGTATCCTATGTCAATACTAATTTGCTTGTGTAAATTCCCATCACCTGTTAAGGAAATAAATGCCTCTGCTTTTAAACAACTCTACTGCTCACATAGTAGAAAAAAAAAGCATGAAGACAGACAGACTGAGTAGAATGTGTGTTCCAGCAAGTGACAGATCCCAGAAATAACTTGTTTTATAAAAGTTTCTTACCTTAATTTCTCTAATGGATGCTTCTGTATCAACTGAGATAGAGGTATCTCCGCTGCCTCTCCGGGAGGAAGTTCCACCCAGAGAGGCGAGTGTAGCTGCTGATAAGCTTGACACAGTACGAGCTCCCTAAAAATATACACAGTTAAAATACAATAGTTATGAAATATTTTTAAACATAAAAAATGAATATATATCAATTCTCAGAGTGCGATTCACTTATTTTTAGGTGGAGAGAACAAACTGCTATAATTATCTTTCTGGAACCATTAAAAAAAAGTAATGTTCAGCAATAGCAAATATATCATCTGGAAGATACACCAGGCATTGTGCTTCAGTGATGCACAAAAGTTTGGATGTACAAATTTTACATCCTGCTGGTTTCATAAGGTTGTGATACAGTATAGTTACTAGAACACAGTCTTTTATTCTGAGGTCAGCTGTTCAAATTTGGGTCCAGATGGAAATGACTGACAGCAATTACCATCACTTTGCCATTTGGAGACTTATAGGAAACATGCCTGTGGCTTTTACTTCTGTTAACAAACAGACATGAATCCATGTGAAGCAATTATAATTTGGCACTTCTGATATCAGTCCTAGGGGGCCAGTATTTGAATACAGAGGCTTAAGTTCCATAGGGAGCTTAAGTTCCATAGAAGGGTGGTAAACTGGGAAACATGTACTTCCACTGAATTGATTCTATAATATTAACAGGTTTTACGGTTAGAGAGGACTATTAGATCGTATAATGCTATCACATGCCACAGAAGTGCACACTACCTGTGCCTAACTAAAGCAAAACCTTTCAAGGCGGCACCCTATTGTGATAGGACAATATCAGGGGACTGAGAATTCACCACTCCACTTCCCTTGGTTGTTTTCTCAGCTAGTTAAATATTCTCATTTAAAATTGTGCCTTACTTCTAATTTGAGTTTGTCTGATTTCAGTTTCCAACCACTGGTTTTCCGTTAGATTAAAGGGGCTTTTAGTGTGTGGTTCTCTCTCTCCATGAAGATATTTATACACTACAATTAAAGTCACCTCTCAAACCTTTTTTTTGAAAAGCTAAATAAACTTAACTTTATAAGACTCTCATTCTACAGTACTTAGTCATTTTGTGTCCCTTTTCTAAAGAATCTAAGCAGTGCCACACTTGGTCAGACAAATGGTCCATTTAACCCAGTGTCCTGTCTCTGACAGAGGCTGCTAGAGGAAGAGGACTGAAACAGACAGAGATAGAGTAAATCATATTCATAACTCTCCCTGGCATCCACTATTGTTGGTCTAGAGATGCCAGGGAAGAAATATCTTCAACCATTCTGTTCAATAACCATTAATAGATCTATTATCCATACATTTATCTAGTCCTTTTTTCAACCTGGTTATGCTATCTGCCTCTACCACCTCCTGTGGCAATGACTTCCACAAGTTAACTGTGTTGTACAAAAAAGGTCTCTCTGTTGTTAGGTTTAAACCTGTCTCCTACTAATTTCAGTAGGTGCCCCCTAGTCCTAGTATTCAGGGACTTGAACAGTTCCCTGTTTACTTGGTCCACACCCTTCATGATTTTACAGATCTCTATCATATTCCCCCCCTCAGCCTTCTTTCTTCCAAACTGAAGAGTTCTAGTCTTTACAGTCTTTCTTGGTATGGCAACTGTTCCAGGTCCCTTATCATTTTGGTTACCCTTCTCTGTACCTTTCCTAATTCTACTACATCTTTTTTGAGATGTGAGGACCAGAACTGTACACAGTATTCAAGATGTGGGCACATCCCGGATTGGCATGAAGATGTTCTCCTTTTTGTTTTCAATTCTTAATGACGTCTTAATGATGTTGTTTTCAATTCTTAATGATGTCCAACATTTTATTGGCTTTTTTGGTCACTACTGCACACTAAGCTGACTTTTTAGAGAACTAAGTACAAATGACTCCAAGGTCTCTTTCCTGAGTCATAACAGCTGGTTCCCAGGTGCATTACCCCTGCACTTGTTGACAACAATGTTCATCTGCCAATTTTTTTGCCCACTCACTAAGTTTGGTGAGATCTTTCTGCAGCTCCCCTCAGTCAGCTTATGACTTAGCTACCCAGAATTGTTGGGTATCATCTGCAAACTTGCTCACTGTGCACTCCCATTTCCAGGTCATTGGTGAAAATACTGAACAAAATTCAGCCCAGCACAGATCGCTGCAAGACCCTATTTTGACCTCCCTCCAACCTGAAGAGTGATCATTTAGCCCCATCTTTTGCTACCTATCTTTTAACCACCTCTCAATCCATAAAAGAATCTTCCCTCCAATCCTGTGGCAACAGTTTTTTTAAAAAGCCTTTGGTGAAGGACCTCATCAAAAGCTTTTTGGAAGTCCAAATATATTTTGTCAGCTGATCCCCCTTGTTCAAGTGTTGTTAATACCCTCAGAGAACTCCAGCAGACTAGTGGGACAGGATTTACCTTTACAATAACCATGCTGATTCTTCCACAGCAAACCATATTTGTCCACGTGATTGCTTATTTTGTTCTTTATTACAGATTCTACCAACTTGCCAAGGATGGAAGCGAGACTCTTTGCACTGTATATACAGGATCACTTCCGCACTAATTTTTGAACAGCCCTGTTAAAATGTGGCACAAGAGCTGGATGCAGAACTCATATCAGTTTTTCCTACCACTCATGCAGGCCACACAGAAATCGAGGTCACTCCCTACTACTCTGTACACCCAAGAACTGCAATAACCTTCTCTACCAGAGCACTGCACTGGAAGCCTAGGTAGGGTCCCTTGTCTCCTATGCCCCTGCAATAGAGCAAATTACTCCCAATACTAATAGAAATTGGGTGGGGTAACTAATAAAAGCCAAAGAACTGTATTCTCATGGCTGCACCTGGTCACAGGCAGGGAATAGGGGCAGCAGGGACACCAGCTGAGGACTTGGCTTTCCTTTAATAAATGAGTTAGGAAAAGAATTAGGAGGTGGGAATGGGGGAATAAGCCCAGTTACAAGGAGAAAGAAAGCCTGCTCCTGGTACAGGCTCAGGAGCTTCATGAGGGCCCAGGGAGAACTCTACAGAAGAGCTGTTCTGAAAGGAACTTGGACATCTGCCCAGGAGGGACTCAAAGTCTGAGCCTGGGTTAAGAGGGTGATGTATAAACTGAATTTTCCTTGGAGTTTTTTCTGAGGGTAGCTGATGTTCAGGGGCTTTAAGGAGAAGCCCAGGATCTCATAACTCAGAGAGATGACACGAATCAAGAAGATGACCAGATATGGTATTGAGAACCAGTATTGAGACTGACTATTTGTTTGGAACTGTATTTGCCTTGTTTGAAATTTTGCTGCTAACAAGTTCCTCAGAAACAGTGGGATGAAATGTGATCTGGCTGGAGAACTGCAAGAGGCAGACAGATGACTGCACAGGCAGGTTAGCAATCAAGAAAGGGTGCTGGACAAAGGCAATAAACCCCTCTGTCAAGTTAGAGAGTGGGCGCTGGCAGGTACTTTACCACACACCCCCAAGTCTTTTTCAAAGATATTGTTTTCAGGTATATAGTCCCCCATTCTCTATGTCTGGCCCGTACTCTTGGTTCCTTGCAGACCTTGAATTTAGCTTATTAAAGAGCATGTTAGCTGAATGGGTCCAGTTTATCAAGTAACCCAGATCAATCTGTATGAGTGCCCTACTATTATCCATCATTCCATTAATCTGTCTCTGCAAATTCTAATCAGCAGTGATTTTATATAAAAAAACAACAACACTGAATGGTATTGGGCCTAACATTTATCCGAAATTCTAAAGAGAAGCACTCCTGTTTAATGTTGACTTCCTCATTGACAAATGCTTCTTGAGACCAATTATCCAGTTCTTAATCTATTTAGTGGGCGCTTTATTGATATTGTACAATATTTTGAATAGTCTTGCAATCAGCATTACATGATGACAAGTCAACTTTCTTACAAAAGTGTACTACCTCTGTGCTATAATCAACCAAACTTTCCATCCTTGTATTTCTGTATCTATAAAAAAAAAATCAGAAAGGAGAAAGTTTCCAAAATACCATGCTGTTTGTGAACTGTCCTAGAAATTAAAGTTCTTACATCATCCAAGCAAAATAAGTGAAAAGCTAATAAAGGATTCAGTTTATATATATAAAACTTTCTCCATTCTGATTCCTCCAGCAAAAGACCAGCTTATTCTGATCAAGAAGCTCCACTCAGACCTAAAGACCCTTGGATAGAGAGACAAAAAGTACACTACTTATTCAAATCAGACAAGTAAAATTGTAACCCTGATGGGTTAATTGTATCCACTTGGATGGGAAAGTCCTTATTTCAACTGGCTCCTTAAATATTTCTTCAAATGTTATTGGAAATTAGTCATGATGACAACTGTCAGTTTTTACTTTCAAATCATTCTAATAGTGTTGAAATGTGTCAGCTTAGTTTAAGATTAGACTAAAAAAAATACTGCCAGCATAACTGGGTTTGGCAACAAAAGCATCTTCTTTAAGAACTGGTAAAATAATCATTTCCCCACCAGCCTGGACAAAGATGAAGATTTCAAGCACAGATTTTAATCATGCCAAGAACTTTAACAGTGCCCTGTAGGTGTTTCTCCCCCTGCCTTCCTGACACTACCAAGTGACATTTGTGCTCCAAAACTCATATAGATACGTTTAACAAAACTCCACTGTCAATCTTTTCCCTTGTCATTCATGTTTTATGTACTTTCCAATAGCAGCATTAGAACGTTTTGAATTCTGCATAAGAAGTCCACCTCCAAAATAAAATTTAAAAAAAAGCCAGTGCTATTTTTTTTGCATTTTATGTAAACAAATTACATTATAGCAGTATAATTAAAAATGCTCTACTGAATATAAAGATATTCTGTTGCTTTACCTCTAAGGAATTTAGGGTCTAATGTCCTGTTGAAAGTCATTAGGACTCACACTGCTCAATTAAGGCATTTTTGAAAAATCTGCTTGTCAAGCTGAAATAATATAAAGCTATACTACCTATAATACCATGCAGTCATATCCTGCAGTGGATTTTATGCAAGATTTGTGCAAATACAGTGTTGATTCCACATATGGAAATGTGACGATAAGTGATTATCAATATAATTCCTATCAGCTTTCTTACCTTCTCAAAGTCTTTTTCTGGCCTTTCTTCAATCTGCAAACAAAGAGAGATTATTTAGACACAACAACTGGGTAAAAGAGGACACAAAGAAGACCAAGATTGACGGCAGTTTGCTTTTAAACTGAGCTGTGTCAGGGATCTTAGAAACATTCTTCACTGGCAATTCATTCTGCACAAAAAGCAACTACGGCACACGGTACTGCACCAGCAATGGGAACACTCATCCCTGAAAAGCTCTCTTGGGCATACACAATATTAAGGTAGGTTTTCTTATTAATTTTTAGAACTGTTCAAGTTATATAAACTAGAGGAATGCCTTTATTTTACTCAAAGTCATGCTTGATATAGTCCAAAACCATACAAAATGCATGAATCACATATGAAATAAGCCTGAATCTACTTAATTTAGTAACTTAGTGTAAGCATACCATAACCACATTGCAGAACAAATGTTTTTGTTGTGTTTGATTATACATTTAACCACAATATTATATCGACTTACTCGTACTCGGTTTTATCCCTGCAGGAATTTCTATATAAACAGTAAATATGCAAAATAGCACTCAGGAAAAAGAAAAGCTTAAAGTCCACAGTGCAAACGAAAAATATTTTTTTCCTGGAGTAACAAAGTTGAAAAAAATTGCACTGAACATTTGCTGCATTGTCACCTGCAGGTGCAACAAAACTGTCAGCAGCACAGTCCTTGAGAACATCCCTAGCTCAAACCAAAAGGAAGCAATTTTCACTTTCCGAAAGGTTATTAAAAATAAGACTGATGACAATCAGATACCCAGACTATAACATCTGCATGAAGTCTGAGCTCTTTGCTTCCAATAGCCCCCTAAAATCACTGCCCCTTCTTTCAAACAAGCAAAGCACAAGGTTGCAAAGGGACCCCCCGCTTAGCATTCCCCCCATCCCTGCTACCCCACGTTAGAAAGCTTAAAACCTCACTAAGACGTATTTCAGACATAACAAAGGGAAGTCTCCATCAATACAAATGAAGATATGGTACCCCAAAACAGGCAGGAACAACAAAGACAAGGAGATACGTCAAGGAGACACGTCAAGGAGACAAGGAGGACAAACTAATGATAAGCTGCAGAAATCTTTAGAGAAAGTTCTGACATTGACATATAGCAAAGTTAAATATGGAGTCTTAAGAGACCTGAAGGAATAGCCTGGAGATTAACCAAAGAGACTTCTTGGTATTCATCAAGAATACAAAGTTAACATAGTTACAGTTAAAAGAAAGTAGTTTAAGACAGGATGGGCATAATTCTGCAGCAGCTGTGCTCTTAAAAATGGAGAAAATGAGATGAGCAGAATTTCAGAATGAGGATTAGAAAAAATAGATAGGGATAAGGAGAGAAGCCCCCCTAGTAGTTTGCGTAAATCCTCCCAGGTAACTCATGATCAGATGATAAATCTGCCCCTAATTACAAGGTTTAAGATTACAAAATGTGGAGAACATACCTTCCTATGGGCTGCAAAGATGCAGTTCAAGAAGCAGTTCAAGTTTTCCAAAGGAGAGCATAACTATTTTCAATTGGAGCTGTACAGGAAATAGGTATTCCATTTCCTGAAAAGTTGTATGAAATTAAAAGGCAAGAATTCTTGCGGGTGAGGAGACACAGGCAAGCTTTTGGATATCACGGTACCCTCTATTGGGCTATGATGAGGAGAGGGGGATCTGAGGAAGGATACTGCAATACCTGAAAGCTTGTCTAAATTATCTCAACCATGCTGTTGGCCCAATAAAGGTAACACCCACCAAAACTCTTGCCTTTCCCACAAAATGAAACTTTAATAACAAACTCTATTTTTGCTCAACTGAAAAATGTGCAGGCCCTCTCCCGATCCCATCCTTGTTGCCATGTGCGGGCGGCGGGGAGTGATCCGGGCCCTTTTTCGCTCCGTGCGGGCTGTGGCCAGCAGCCCGGGCACGCTGGATCGGAGAGAACAGGCGACACGCTAGAATTAGGCACGGACGCGTAATGGTTGATTCAAGATTGTTTACTTACACCGAAGATGGTCGCGGTGTAGGCTGGACAGTTTCCCAGGCACAGCTCCGCTTAAACCCTCGTTTGAGGACTCAGACAATATTCGATCACTCCCACAGAGTTGTTGAGGCTCCATGGATCCTTTTGTTCACTCACAATTCACTCACACGAAGTTTGCTAGGCTCCGTGGGTCCTTTTTTGTGCGCAGGGAGAGGGATACGTCGAGGATTGCAAACGGCGACGGGGAGAGGCTAGAGGCTGATCAGACCCCTGTTGCCTGCTTTAAATGCGCTGGGTCCGATACGCTCCGCAGCGCTTAGAGATCTTCACACAGTGTGAAGTCTCCTCCTCCTGGTGTTTGTGGAGTCCTCCCTTGCGAGGGTTCTCCTCGGAGTTCTCCAACTTGGGCGGAAACCACCCAAGCCTTTTATACGGCTAGCAAGCCAATCACTAGCTGCCACGTGTGAATAATTTCACGCAAGCCAATAATGGGGCTCAAATTATCATACAAATGGCGGGAACTCTTTGCACCAAGCATTTCTTAGCTGCAAAGAAGAAATGCACACTGCAAAGAAAGCTACAATTTGGCGGGAAAATAATTCAGTGGTGCCAAAGCACAAACAAAACAAAAAAATCACACCCTTGGGTTGTGACAAAAAATATTGTGCCAATTACCATAATTAAATATCTAAATGAAAAGTATTTTGAAGAGGAAATGCAGAATATTTCATTTAATTTCCTTAAAACAATTTCATTACCATAAGGAAAAAATTAACTGTCCAATTCTATTTGGAGTTCAGCAAGCTGCAGCCATGGGGATTGGAAATACAGTGAGGAAACAGTGAAGCTGACCAAGAATTAAGCAGAAATCAAGCCGTGTTTCAGGCACAGTTAGTTGTAGATACAATAATTTGAAATGAGGTACTGCAGCACAATGCATGACATCAAAAGCCAAAGAAACTGAACTTTCAAGAATTTCCAATAAGCTCAGCAGTTGTCAGCATTTCTTCCTTTTAACATCTTCTAAAGCCAGAAGGCTATTTTAATGTCATTAAAAAAAAGAGCACTAATAAAACAACAAAAATCCATTCAGATTATTTCAGTTCAAGTGAACATGTATGTGCATGAATGGGAGGTATATTCCCCTGTGAAAAAACATTCACCTGTTTGGATATGAACATTTGATAAGACATGCCTAGTTTGATAAATGAGTAGAGTGAAACTACCAAGAGCTTCAGAAATGGAGCCAGCTAGTTATGTGGTGTACAGCACGTATGACAATAAAAAGATCAATTAAATAAAACAATAACTTTATAGTGTCACTAAAACAAAGTTCTAATTTGTAATGATTAATCATTCACTCATGATGTTTACAGAGCAGTGATTTACAAATGTATTAAAGCTTCCTAAAGACTAGGAAAAGTCTGACAGCTCTGGTTACTCTTGCTTACTCTGCTGGTCTCCAGAAGAACAGGAAACTCGCTTCTCATTTTAAAGCAAGAAAGCTGTCTTGCCACAGAACAGAATGGATTTTTGATTTTCAAGCTAAGTCTCCATCATCCAGCAGAGGGAACTCTTGGTATTCTCATGTAATTCTTAAGTACATTACCGTGGTGGAAGCTCCTGAATATTTGAATCAATCAGATACTATTAAAGGTGATGGGTCAGGAAGAAAAGTTTATCTTATTCCGAAGTTGCACAAAGTTCTTGCCAAACAATGCACAACTTTCATATTAGCTTGCAAAGACTGCTATTACACACCTCACTGAAAACCACTGAACTGCTTCCAAATGACTCAATCTACCTCTTCTTATAAAAAAGGAGTTAATAAACTCACAACACTTAAAATATGAAGGCATAAGATACTTGCCGAATAAGTAGATATTGACAGACATGCCAACAAAGATACAAAACCACTGTTCTTATAGAAATACAATTAAGGGCCATGTATATAAAGTTGTAATGGAATTGACCCTCAGGTCACTGCTTACAGATTATCACCTGCGTTACCATCGCTTAATGTGATCTGGGGTTTTTTTTTCCTTGCACACATAGGACATAAAGGGGAGGAAGTGGTACGTAGAATGCTTTTCAAGAAAATTCCAATGTACATCAATAATTCAGCAAAGGGGACAAACTTTTCTTTTTAAAATAAGCAACAGCAAAGGGATCAAAGTTCAGCTTCTTTCAAACATTTTTTTTTTTTTAGAATAAAACCAGGGGTGCGTGTTACTAAAGAGCGTCAACAATATCAGCAGACAAGGTTCCTTGTGTGAATTTGATATCTTTTATGAGACCAACCCAAATAGTTGGAGAAAAGTTATTAAGCAAGCTTTCGGGTTCAAAAACCTTTCGTCAGGCTAAGGAAGTTTCAGCAGTTGGTGTATCAGAAGCTTCATGCAGCTGGAAGCTAAACAGCAGGCTAATTCTACAAGTCTATATATGGAAATATTACCTATTTTTCATAAATAATAAAAAGAGAAAAAAGTATTGAAGCTTAATGCATTTGAAACTTGTTTCCCTATTCCTTCCCTATTCTTATTTCTGCCGATTGTTTATTTGTCATCAACTCTTCAAATACTTTGTGTCTCTATTCATCCAGGTCCAGCATCACAACCACAAACAACGTGCCACTGGGCACTGATACAGTGCCTTTCCCCAATGCCTTCAAAATGGTTTACAAACATTTAGGCTGGGGACAGACATTACACATAAACCGGTTTAAGTGATCAGAAACTGATTTAAACGTGTAACGGAACAGATGTTCAGTGCACATAAACCAGTTTGAAAATGGCTAAAACCAGTTTGAGATAAACCTGTTTGAATGTCATATCAGACTTAATTGATGTGGGTCAAACCAGCGTATGCAATGCCTGTCCCAAACCCCTTGCTGGTTTAATTTAAACCAGAGTCCCCCAGCAACCTAGCATGCTCTCTGGGCTGGCTGCGCCTCTGCTCCACAGCATGGCTGTCCCCTCCCCTCTGCTCCCTGGACAGACCTCTAGCAGAGTCTTGCAGGCACAGCAGGGT